TCGGGAAGGCACACGTGTTACCGTTTTAAACCAGTCGCGGAGACAGAAACACGAAACCGGGCGAAGTTGTTCACACCGATGTGAGTGGAAAAGTACAAGTCGAGTCACTTGGTCACTCGAACTACTACGTAACATTCATCGACGACGCTTCGGGTTTTTGCTACGTATACTTTATGCAACATAAGGACGAAGTCGTCGAGAAGTTCGCGCTCTATAAAAAGATAGTGGCAAATAAATTCGGTACAACCGTGAAGGCTGTGCGTTCTGACAATGGTGGCGAGTACAAAAACGGACGATTCGAAAAATATCTCGGACAGCGCGGAATAGTTATGGAGAACACAGCTCCATATACTCCACAACAGAACGGCAAGGCGGAGAGAGCAAATCGGACAATATTCGAGTGTGCACGCACGATGTTGCGTGCAAAGGACCTCCCAAAGAACCTGTGGGCAGGTGCAACCATGGATGATAACTCCGGTCCAATACTGGCAAACAGTACTGGCCCAGCCGTAGCTTTCCAGTATTGGGTCAACATTAGCTTTACAATCGGCCCAGTACTGCCCCAATACTAAATTACCTAAGTTACGGAACGGGCACAGTTAGAAAGAACATTGGCCCAATACTCAGTCAGTACCGGTTACCCACAGTCCCGACGCAGTACTGGCGCAACACTGGAAACATTATTGGCCCAATACTGGTCCACTACTGATCACCAGAATTCCGGTGTAGCACTGGTCGAGTGCTGGCTCAGGAATAGGCTTTACAATAGGCTTAGTATTAGGACAGTACTGGTTACTAAAGATTCGGCCCAATGCTGGGATCACTACTGGCCTAATATTATGTTTGTACTGGTTACCAGAGTTCCGGGGCAAGAACTGGCGCAGTACTAACAACAATATCGGCTCAGTATTGGTCCAGTGTGCGATAATAGCGCCAGCCGGATATTGATAAAAATTACTAGCGTAGCATAGGATTACACAAGGGACAACATGGTACTAAGAATGGCAAACAATATATAATGGCTCGGCAATGATACTTAATATCAACGTCAACATTTACGAAATTAAAATAAAAAGCTGTATAGTGAAAAATTCAAATTTCAATTTATTGAAAGACATTGTAACGCTACTATAAATCATGTTTTGATAAAAAATTGAACGTGCTGTGTATATATATATTTGACAGTTTATTAATATAATCTTTATATGTGTGGGTGTGTGTATGTGTGTGAGTGTGCATGTGTGTGTTATTAAATGTTAACATTATCAATGGTAATATTTTATTTATATCTTGAGAACCAAGTCGGTGAAATATTTCTCGCTGAATGATCATGCGTTTGACGT